TGAGTCAGAGCGGGGGGCCCGGGGGGTCCCCACGGCCACGCGCGAGGGGAAGCGAGGGGGGGTCCCGGCAGGAGCCGCCCCCGTGCGGGATCGGGATCCCCCCCGGTGCCGGATCGGGCCCCTCCCGGTGCTGGCCCGGTCCGGTCCAACCTGATCCAGGTGTGGCACCGATTCAGGTGCGGGACCGCAGGATTCCCCCCCCGTGCAGGGAGCGACGCGGGTCCGGACGGGTCCGCGGCTGGTCCGGGACCCCCGCTTGGGCCGGACACGGCGGTACCGGTGCCGGTTCTGGAGCCAGCCCGGTGCGGGATCTGTGTCGGCACCGCGCGGATCCCAGTGCGTGGCCGGTTCCCGCTCGGGACCGGTCCCGGGACGTCCCGGTCCAGGTGCGGTACCACTCCCGGTACCCCCGCTCCAGGTGCGGGACCCGTCCAGGTGCGCCCTGCTCCAGGTTCGGGATGGATCCCGGTGCCCCTCGCTGCCGGTACCGGGTTCGGGCCTGCCCCGGTACCCCCCAGCGCAGGTTCGGGGCCGCTCCAGGTGCAGCCCCGGCCCCCCCGCTCCAGGTGCGCCCCCGGTGCCCCTCTCAGGTCCCGACCCCGCATCACCGCTCCGGCCGCTGCTGCCCCCCCCCGTGTCCCCCCTCCACTCCGCGTCGCCTCAGCCGGTGCGCGGGGGTCCCTCGCTGCCCGGGGGGGGGTCCCGGGGGGGTCGCGCGTGTCCGGGGGCCGCTGTGGGGGGTTTCGCTCCCCCCGGGCCGTTGCTGAATGGAAAAGCCGTGACTCAGGATGTGTCATCGGCGGCGGCGGCGGCGGCGGCTCCCGCGGGGTATAAAGGGGGCGGGCGGCGCGCCGGGCGTCACGCGGGGACACCCGGACACGCGGACACTCGGCCCGGCCGCTCCCACGCGAGTGTCCCCCACACACGCCCCACGCGGGTGGTGCCGGGGACGCGGCTGTGACGGGGGACGCGGCGGGGAGGGGACAAAGTGTGAGGGGGGGCGTGAGAGAGAGAGAGAAAGAGAGAGAGAGAGAGTGGGAGCGTGTCCCGCCGCGTGGGGACCGTCCCGCCGCGTGGGGACCGTCCCGGCGAGCGGCAGCGCGGCCGGAACGTGGCAGAGCGGCCGCGGCAGCGCGGGTGGCAGCGGGAGCGTGTCCCGTCCCCGAGGGCGCTGGTGGCAGTGGGGACACGGAGAGTGGCAGCGTGGCCGTGGGAGAGTGTCACGGAGAGCGGCGGCGTGTCCGCGCGGGTGCGACCGCGAGTGTGACAGCGGCGGCGCGGCCGCGGCGGTGGCAGCGTGTCACGGCCCGTGGGAGCGGCTCTGAGCGGGTCACGCCGCGTGGGTGAGCGCGTGTCCCCCGCGCCGTGTCCCCGCAGGGGGTGACCCCGCCGCGACACCGCGAGCGGGACCCTCTCGTGGGAGCGGAGCCCCGAGCGCGCCCGTGGGTGCGAGTGGGGCTGAGTGCGACCCCCGCCGCCCCCCGCCCGCGCCCCCCGCGCTCCCGCGTGGGTCCGGCGCCCGCCGCGCCCCGTGGGGACCCCGCGGAAGGACCCCCGCGCCCCGCCATGACACGTAAGTGCCGGCCGCGGACACGCGTGGTGGGGACAGCGACCGGGCGAACCCCACGGGGAGGGCTTGGGGGCGATTCCGTGCCGCCCCCCGCGCCGCGTGGGGGGTGTCCGCCGGTGGATCCCCTGCCCCGCACCCCCCGCACCCCACACACCCCACACCCCACGGGACCGGGCGCGTCCACCCGCGTGGCCTCGGGCCACGGGCAGCTGCCGCCGCGCCTCAAACCGCAAACGGCCCCGGCGCACCTGCCCGCCCGCGGCGGCCGCGCCCCCCCGGGACACGCGTGGGGGCGGAGGGGGGCGGGGGGGGACACGCGCGGGGTCGCCCAGGTGTGAACGCGGAGGGCTTCGGTTTGCGGGGGCCGTGCGAGGTTTTGGGGGGGGTTTTGGGGATGTGGAAGAAGCAGAGGGACCCCCCCCCCCCCCCCCCCCCCCCC